AGTTATTATTAATTTGTCATAAAATAATTTAGTTCTCCACTATGGAATATCCACATGCTAATATCAAATTCATCTGGAATATACTTGAAAGGAACCTAGAAGCAGGAAATATATTTAAGGTTTTTCTAATTATTTTACATCATCACAATGTTTTCTCCAACCGTTATAAAGTTTTTCAAAACGACGGATTATCAATGTTCTTACGACATATTGAATGTTTGCCAGCCATTGCACCGCAACGAATTTTGTAAAAATTGGACATTTCAATCGCACGCAAAACGTGTAGGTACATAAACGTATATGCTCGGATGGCAATTATCATTATATCCGGTTTATTGTAAAACTCAAGAACCGCATCGATGAAAACTTTCCTCGGAACACGTTATAGCCGCTACCGTTAAATCTGAAAGTCGATTCGTTTCTCCTTTCTTTTAATTCATCGCTTAATATTCCGCGAAGCGTATAACGACCCCCTGGATCCCCACGGAGGCCCCGATTCCCCCCGCGAGATATGCACACTTTTAGCGCTCTTTCCTTGTCCCTTCGAGTGTACTCTTTGCTCCGAAAAAAAAGGGGGGCGTTCTCTTCTCCGGGAAGTGGAGATACGCGGCGTCTCCAGGGAATAAGAGTATCCGGGGGGGCATTTTTTATTCAAATTGCATTGCGCGCGAGAATACGAGCCAATGATTTTCGACGAGCTGGTGCAGGAAGGGGAGAGTTTTTCTTGCACGGTTGCGTTTTACGCGGGTGATAATGTGCGTCGCTTCGAGTGAAGGATATTCTTAATACACGGGTCGACTTTTTTTCAATTTCTTCGCTATACTTTGTGGTTTTGTTCGTAAAGTATGGAAATAATTCGTTTAATCACTGAACTTTATTACAATTTTTGGACATTTTTACCGCAATGGCAACGGTAATGTCGGATTACCACTTTTTTTTTTCATTTCTTAGTGAGTTTTACCGTGTTTTTTTCAGCATATTAAGACGTATCTCGAGTATTCGTTGTTTACCGCGAAGTTATGGTAATTACTTCCAGTTTCAGAACGTTCTTACGTGCTTTGCCATCACATAACCTCAATTCAAAATATGAAACAACGTGGGTATTTCGTAATCATACTTTTCCTCCATTGGTGAAAATATTACCACGACAATTTGAATCTCACTGCAATGAAAATACTTACCGAACTTTGGAGTACAAGCTACATTGAGATATATTGAAACTTTTTCCTCGGTGTGAACCCAAACGGGAAAATTGACCGCCGCACCAACACTCGATGATTCCCCCTCCACCTGGGGAACGGCACAGTTCCAATTTTCTTATTTTGAAAGAAAAAAAGAAAAAAAAGGAGGGCTTTTGCTGCATCTTCCAAAAAACGCGTCGGTAAACTCTTTTACAAAAACCACCAACGCGAGAAGGAAAAAGTTCTCGAGGCAGCACCTTTTTCGATTCGGGTAAAAATAAAATCCACTTCGAGGAGCTAGTTGTATCCTACTTTAGAGAACTTCACAAGCAACTTCGTTCCCTTGAAAAAAAAAAATAATATTCAAACGCAGCGGTGCGATATATCCCCGGGTATATACACATCAGCCATCAGCAAGGAAATCTGCTTTTCGCGCACGTTTCGCATTCATCTGCATTTCAAACTTTGTACAAAAACTACAGCTAGTAAACACAACGGAGGAGGAAAAAAAAGAGGAACCCATGGTGTATGGAACAAAAGTCAGTGTGGCGGTGTATAACGCGCTGTACATACGTTATGAGGGTTGAAATATTCCTCCAACGCGTACATAAACGCGAGCAAACGATAAAAAGCCGCGTTGGGTAGCGCACGAGTTTGAAAGTTCGTGTTATTTACAGGTGCGGTAAGTCGAGTCTAGGGGGCAAACGCGGCGTTTATGTGTTTTCCCTTTCGTGTTTACACATATACGTGGGTATGGTGTAGGAAAGATAAAAAATTACTGTAATATCAAATGCAAAGTACCAAGGTCAACATTTTTCATTAATTTGGATGGAAATTGAAAATTTAAGTGTTTAAATACAAATTGAGATTCCACTCAAGTTGATACATTTGTCTTGGAGGCAATGAGGCAGCCTTGTAAGGACCTTGTAAACACCCTGTAAAAATTTACGTTTCAGTAATTAATTTAAACTAAGCTATTGATAACTCGAAAAGTAAATCGGTATGGGTCGTCAAAAAAGCACATGTTACCAGCCATGCAAATCGATTTTTACAACGTTTAACGATCCGCATTGTGATTTTTTGTCATCAACTAAGTATGTACCTACTGATTAAGATCGTTCACTTGTACAGCTATGTCAGAGCATGTGACTATACCGATATGACTGGTTTGTTGCAATGTTTCGCAAAACTTTGTGAATTGCTCAAGCGCAAACTACTGTTTTGTCGTTTTTGAAAGCCAAAGAATAAAATTTTTGATCAATAACAGTCCAATTTCCTTACATTCCCTAACAATGAATTTATGTTCGACCAGCTTATAGTCACGTATGAAGGTGCACATTTTTTCAGTACACAAAACTTGATTATATAGTAATAATTTCTTTAAGACCAACAAAAAAAAAATAAATTGCACACGTGCCAAATAAATCGAGACTATTAAGACCACCGCCATAATAGACGAGAGAAAAAGTATACAATCAAATCAAAAGTCCCTCCCGAAGACCCCATTAGTCACTCCGCGTCGGACGAGTCTCAACTCCGAAAATATCATGGTCACCAAACTTCCCGACGACCCGACCCACAATGCGGAAAGTTACTTTGCACACAAAACGACCCTCGGTCACTTGGACCAACTTTGGATCAACAACAGCTATCGGCCGGAATTATCACCGCGATTCATCCACGGTGTGGAGTTAAGGCCGAGGAAACCGTTGCAGCCGATGATTGCAAGTTGAACGAGTCGCCGTGGAAAGAAAAGCCTCGGCAATGTTTTCTCATAACGGTTTCGTTCGCAGCTGCACAGCAAACAGCCTTGATACCGCCGAGGAGGAGCTCCAACGGAGACTTCTAACTTGCTAACTTGGTGACAGCTGAAAGGCTCACTCATTCGGTGGGCGGAGGATGGGTTGGTCTTGGGCAAATAAGGAAGCTGAGCGCGTGGAGGGTCACTTGCTCAGGAGGAGAGCTCGTGAATTTTGGTGCAGGATCGATGCTAATGAGGGTTGAGCCGCCGGGGATTATTGAGATTGAAGTGATGAGGGAAGGAGCCTGTTCCGAGGAGAAAGAGAGAGAGAGAGATACAGGGACCGTCGACTAAGGGGCTTTGACAAGGGAATGAGGTGTGCTATTGTCAATGGTTTTTTTAGCTGATTGTAACGTTGGATCCGTGTTTTAAGGGAGTTTTTTTTTTTTTTTCTTTTAACTTCAAGTAAATGCTGTTTTAGATACTGTCTTATTCACAAGACTGAGAAGTACCTTTTTTTTAAGCTACTATTAATTTTGTCATTCAATTTTGGAATTATTGAAGCCATAAATATTCGTTGTATACAGGAAGGCGACTAAATTTGATATTTGTGGAAATACTTCAATATTAAACTTATACTGTAGTTGCATTAAAATTATGTAGAAATATATTTGTACAGTATTTATATCTTGTAATCATTTTTTATTAAAACGTAGTCAAACTTTAATAAATTTTTTATTTTGTTTAACATTTTATGCTAAATCTCGATCACATCAAAGTAAAATAAAGAGTAAATAAGTAAGCGCAAGCATTATTTAAAATCAAAATTCTTGAGAAAATTATTCTTGGTATTGTCTTGAAATTTTAAGTTGCACCTTATCTTGATCTTGTCTTGAAATTTGAGACAATACAAAACAATATCGAGATCACTCTCAAAATCTCGTGAAGCCCTAACTGAATTTACAAAAAAAAACGCTAATAAAATTCGTGGTACTTAGGTCGAACGTAAAAAAGCATGTCATTCCTCCCTTATTGCACTTTTTTTTATTTTCTCGTATTCCTGGGGGACATGTTGGAAATAAAAATTTTGGATGGAAAAATATGTGCTTCAAAGAAATAGTTTTTTACTTAGTAACACTCCTGACTATTTATTCGAGGGAATCGCTCGTAAATTATGTGGCGGGCTGCCGGAAATAAGATCCCAACGTCTCACAAAAAACACGTTTCTCGAAGGTCGGACAATATTTTTGTGAATTTCAAACAACATTTTCTCAGCGTCAAACTGATATCACGTGAATAAAATTAATTAAAAATCAAAAATTCCACATGACACCTAGCACGTAAGGAGCTAGGGAAAATATTCTTACTGACATTATGTCATTTATAAAATAACATTCCCAAGCCAATGTTAATCTATTTCAATCTATTTAAAAATATTCAATGATTCTCACGTCATCGCTTTTAATTACGCGATACAGCGCACACCTCGCGAATCAAGTACTTTGTTATTTAGCAAGTCTGAGTGAGCTGATATACGATTTTTTTTTTTCGTACATCACTACACAAGCTCTTATCTAAATTAATTCTTAGAGAAAGTCATTATACTTATCTACCTTGGATAAGAAATATTATTTCTTAAAATTTGATGAATACACACAAAGTGGAGCCTCGCGATAGCATGATTTGCATTTTGTCTTGCAGCTAATCACGTGATCATTAGACACAGGTGCACTGAGTAAAATTTTTTAAAATTATGTTGACCGTATTAATTATGAATCAAGACAAACGTATAATGATCCAATACTGTTGATCGTTGCACGCGAGTTATTTTTTAGTCAACGTCACGTGACATCAAGTCTCGTTTATAGTTGTACGATTAAATATTCAATTTATTTTCCTTATATTTTCAATTAAGTTAAAAATGAAATCTCGTAGTGGTGAAACTGTGTAATGATGAGCCGACTCGAAAGTGAGCTGACATCATTTCCCAATCCATTCATAAATACTTAGATTCCGCAACTTTCCCTCCATCGATTTCTCAAATAACGCGGGAACGAGGACAAAGTATCTCCATTGGCTCGTAAAATATGAAATATTTATTCGCATAATATATATGTTACAGGATTTAGGTGACTGGCTACACTATACATTTATTAACATCAATTAAAACTGAGAGTCAACGAGTAATTACGTGTCAAATAATACAACAATGAACACATCGTAAATCGTATTTTGCATACGATGTCCAATCATCACTTATCAATATAGAAACAACAATTTGTCATTTTTCCGTGACAACGTGTACGTACAAACCACATTGCAAAAACTACGTGTCTTTGTCACACATTCGTAACAGCGAGCAGATCCTTTTTGGTCAGGTGGTTCATAATGTTGTCCAGAATGACGTACATGCTGTCGACGTCCCACCTCAAGAGTCGGGCCAGAGCCCGCCTGGCCTTGCCTAAAAACTCCTGCCTCTTCACCTCCCGCATCAATCTCTCGGCCGTCATGTTCCCGTAATTGGGAAAGTGACTCCTAACGTACCTCCTCTTGAGCCCCTCGACCACGTTCCGGTTCCTCGCGTACCTGGCGATGCTCTTCTTGGTGAGTATGTCGTAGAAGGTGACGTTCTCGGTGACATAGTGACACCTCAGCCTCTCGAATTCAACCTTGAACACCTGGAAGACCTTCGCCTCGCACTTGTACACCTTGTCGACACTTTCCGGGTAATATATCGAGGGGTAGAGGGCGACGCGCATCGCCAGGTGCCTCATCAGCTCGTAAAAGGTGTTGTAGTAGTGCTTGAATATCCGCTTCTGACGGTTGGCCCAGTCGGAGGAGTACTCGGCCCATTGGCGCTTGAACTCGACCACGAGCTCGAGCTCGAGATCCGCCCCGTGCAGGAGCAACAGCCGAACCGTGCCGACTAGGCGCCGGGTCACCGCCTTGAACAGTAGGCTCTCTCCGTCGCTCGCCCGCTCGTTCACGTCAAAGTCAAAGTTGATCAGGTACTCGGCGTGCTCCTCGTTGTTGTAGCTTATCGCCTCGCACAGGGTCGTGTTGCCGTTCGGTAGTCTTTGGTACACGTCGAAGAGGTTATGTTCAACGAGGAACCTCAGCACCCCCGCGTCCTTGTTGTAGATGGCGGGGAACGTGTTGTACCCGTGCTCGACTATCAGGCCGTGCTCGAAGAACAGCCGTATCTCCTGCTCGTTGCAGATTTTCATCGCGTGCGAGCGGTTCAACCGGTTGACTTCGGGATGGTAGGTTAGGTCGGGTCGGGCGCCACGGGACAGGAGTAGTCGTAGCAGAGGTAGCCTGGTGTCGTGGGGACACAGATCCATCACTCGGACAATGGCGTTGGAGCCGAATTTGTCCTTGATATTGGGATCGGCTCCGTGGTCCAGGAGTAGGTCGATGACCTCCTGCTGGTGGTTTTTGATGGCGACCTGCGGGTGGGGTTTACAGACCCTGTGAGCTCGAGGGTTTGGGAAACTTGATACTTTTGGACGTTTGCCTTTGAACCCTTGATAGTTAAATGGTCATTTTTGTGTTTGCTTATAAAGCTAATGAGAGAATTAGTATAATCGGCTAATTCAGTGTTTTTGATCACACGTTTCTTTTTTCAAACGTCCAATCGATCTTTGGTAAAACAAAAAAAAACAAATAGTTTGTAGAGTAGGTATATTACGGTACTTGCGGACGATCCCAAAGTATTGAAGAATACAACCACGCTTTTGAAATATCAGATCAAACAACACAGAGGGTTCTCGGGGTTTAGTGAAAAAAACATGTTTTTGCGAAAAACATCATTTGTGAAATAGTATTGTAGATTATTGTCAGGGTACCGGTAACGAACTATACCAAGACTTTATACTACGTTTATATAAATATATTCCTTTGTAGGTATTAGACCCAGGGTTATGAATTGTTTAATAAAAGTGTAAATTCTTTGGTTTTATTATGCGATCTGCCACGAAACTACTTGACAAGGATTGACTTCTTTAAAAAAATTGCAAACTAAATTCAAGTGTTGATTTTATTCAAGTTGCAATTTATCCGAGAATCAAATCTAATTACCTTACATTAACATAGATCGATAAGGAATAGACAAGTATGAAAAATCGTTCTTAGAACGGGAGTTCATGAACTTTATGGTTTATAATTCCAACCCTCGGAATGTCGAAAAGTAGTTCTAGGCAAGACAAAAATGACCCGTGGGTAGAAGGGTTAGAGATTTAAAAGTTACTAGAAATTATAAACGTTTAAGCGTTTTCAAGGTCAAGGTTCACGGCACAGGGAACAGTACAGTTTTCGTCCCACAAGTGCCATACCTCTACCGGTAAGTGATATTGTTCCTGCCAAGAGGTGAGCAAACGTCCAAAAATGGGAAAAAATCACACCCAAAATAAGTTAACGCTCGAAGCGAAACCAAGGTTGGATGTCAAAGAAGAAAAAAAAAAACCAAGTTTACCATGAGACAAGTCCACCCAGCCCAGTCGTCCTGATAGTCCACATTGGCCCCAGCATCCAGCAGCGCCTTGACCATCCCGTGCCGATTGGGCTGCTCGCTCTCCGTGGCCAAGTACAGCAAGCTCTTGCCCCCATACGTGAACTTGACCCCGGCCTCGCACCGCTCCAGCAAGGACACGACCAAACCGACGTCGGGCCCTCGCACGGCCTCGCACAGCCGTTCACCGATTTCGGCGCTCAACATCACTCCAACCTTGGCCAACGATGACGATAACGCCCGGGACGCGCGTGCTGCCGTTTGTGCGTGTCCGCGTGCGATGGCGCACGAAGCGGCACGCCTCACCGGAGCAAGACTGAGCCTCGTATATACTCTCGCGATGCCCCATCCACTGCGCCGCTGAATACAATATATAAGTACGTGGTGTGTCATGACCACGTGTGTACGTATTTTACAACTTACACATACGTGTGTGCGCGCGGCGCACGATTTTTATCTAAGTATATTCGACGTTAACAACACGCGGCAGTCGTCGTCGTCGTCGTCGTTTGCGATTATATAGTGTGTGACGTGCGTGACGTAGCAGTCGAATTTTTGTTGTTTGGGATCGAGTTAATGGCCTTTTGAGGAGAGTATAGACGCTCGTGTGTACCTACTTACGAGAAACGATAGCCAGAGAGTCACTGGAATTTAATCGGGAGATGTCCGTGTACTATCGCTGCTGTAGGAATTGTAAGTCCGGTACCTACGTGCGATTGATCGCGACGATTTGACGTTTGGTTTTTCCTCCTTGGTACTCGAGGATCCGTGCTTGCTGCTTTTTTTTTTTTTTTTTTTTCGACTCGCTGTTCCATATGCGCTCTAATCGTCTCCAAAAGCAAAAGGGAAGAGAAGCTCATCAGAGCGCGATTGGGGTACTTGAAAAAAAAAAATGTATCCGTGGCATATGCTGTGTTGTACGATGATTCCTAGGTGAGAACGCTCGCCCGGACCAATTTTGAGACCATTTTTAAATGTAGAAGAAGAATATTTTCAATGATTTTCTTCACGTTTGTCAGTTCTTTTGCCGTTATTTGTCGTTAAATGCTCTGGGCGAGCGCTCGAAACTCCAGACTCGTGTAACAGTAAGGTTCTGCAGCATCACTGCACAAAGCGGTCGTCAATGTACTTGTAATAATATTGGGGCATCAGGTAAAAAAGGTAGTAGATACTGCGTTAGTTTAACCACATAGAATGTGTTTACCACCGTATCATCATCAGCGATAAGTCATCGCAGACGCCGAAATGGTATTTTTCGGGTTTAGTTTGCGCGTTGCGAGTGGGCGAAGTGGGTCGATCAAACGGTACGCACGAGTTACGTGAGATACCGTTTATCGCGATCGTTGCGTCAAGTTCATTGTACGCGTGTGGTGACGCGCACACCTGTTTTGGGTTTCCATGCGCCGCGTTGGGAATGAAAAGTGAAAGCTCGGGTGTGCTCCAGGGATGGCAGTCTCGGGTGCGGTGTGTGTATCGGAGAACTTAATTGACGGGCATAAGAATGCGATCCCTCGAAGGAGACAAAAGTATAGTGTTGCCTTGAGCACGTAGAGAATTTTCATAGTAATAAAAAAAAAAAAAAATAAAAAAAATGGCTTCGAGTGGTACTCCGTTTTTCGTCTTTGCCATGTGGACATATGGTGTCTACGCTGCGTCATTGTGCAAACTAATTTTTTAATTTAACTAGATTCTTATTTCCGTTGTGATTCCATTCAGTGAATAACTTTTGCTGTTACAAGCAGCAGAGTCATCATTCGAATGAAGGTTAAAATCATCTAGATCCCAATCAACTGAATGCTAATTTTGGAACTATACCAGCGTTGGAACATTTTTGAATCATCTGCTTGACACTGACTGCGCGATCACCCGGAAATCGTTGAATTTTGAACAAAGGAGCTTTATCACGTGACCCATCGGCCTATCGAGTCAGGAAAAACCCACAAAAAAAATACCCCAAACAACTCGGTGTTCTCAATCGATTCGATTATACAAGCTTATTTCGTATCATAAATCATGAAATATATTTATTCAAGTTACACAGATGGAAAGAATCATTGTGGTACACATGATGGTGCTAATTGTTTGCGAATTTTTCTAATTCCTACAAATTGATGTACGCCTATCACAAATTTTGGGCACTACTGAGCTTTTTTTTTCAATTTCAGTGCACAAAGATAATATTTGTAAAAAATACTTGTATTATTTGTTACTTGTTGGACAACAACAAATTATGTTTTCAACAATTTTTCGTGCATTATTTTCGTACCGAAACGAATAGTATTGGGTTGCATTGACCACGAGAACTCATTTCTTATAAAAAGTAATAAATCCTCAAATTTGAATCACTGATGATTATACGCCTATAGGTACGACACATCGATCAAAACATTAAAACTCAATATAAATCAACAAATTACTGTATCAGAAAGACTTTTAGCCCTTGAGCTGTACACTCTCGATAGAAAAAAGGCAACAATCTGATCTTACACCCATACCGCGAGTCATGTGACTACATTCAATTTTCTTGCTCAAGCATTCCGTCGTACACGCCGACGATGAAAACTTTTGTCACAATGTACACAAATATACTCTGACTCCGACACGTTTTTAACGCTTCTCCAATAAAAATTAGACCATCGATGCTCGCGAGCACCCTTTGGCCATTTTTTACCATTATTTTTATAGAGTGTCGTTCGGCCCACGAAAAAAGCGAGTTACGTGCCTTAAAGTTTTTTTTTTTTTTTTCACGCAAGGCACCTCACTTTGTTTACATTGATAAAGTCGAAGCATATATATCCAATGGGTTTCCGAAGAATCATACACACGGAAACTCGCTGCAATCTTTCCGCATTGTTACTCGCTCCATGACGTACGCGGTGTGTGGCATTAATAAATCTCCCGTCGATAAATCAGCCTTTTTCCCTCTGTATTTATAGATCATCGCCCCAACTATGCATCGTCAAATGGCCACAAAGCGCGTCCAACAATGAACGAGATGAAACATCAGATGAAAAACAACAAGAAGAAGAAAAGAGGAAGTATATGCAAGTCGTTGGTATATATGCATACATGGGCAAGAAGAAAAGAGGGTCTTGAATATATAGGGGGGCCCGAGTGATGAATATACGCGAGTGTGCGTGTGCAACAGTAGCCCCCTTCCACCCGCGTTAGCCGTAGGTACCGGCTTTATGGCTCTGATTTATCACGGTTATCGCGGTGTGGAAGCTTCCTCTTCCCACTGGGGCGCGCTTCGTTTGAGTTGCCTGACAAACATTGGCCTGTACGCGCTGAAAGTTTCGCCCGTGACGTTTTCATCTCCGCTCTCGGATCGATTGACTTGTTTCCCTTTCTTTTTTTTTTCAGATACGTCTCTTTGTGCTTAAAATTAGCTCAGCTATTTAGATTAGGTATCGAGTTTTGGAGTTTGGCCGAAAGGCTTGGAGCTTTTGGAAAATTGGAGAGCATAATGAGCGCGATAGCGATGAATCGACGGAGGGAGGGTCGTTTGTTTTAAAATTAAGGATTTGCTCGTTGGAACGGGGAATTTCAGACTCGATCGACTGACTTACTAGTGCGAAAGGAATTTCTATTTTTTTTTTTCATCAAAGTTCGTTATTTTTTCATACAGCACGACTTTTTTAGGCTTTCAAAATGAAGAAATAATTTTTGTCATTTTAATACACGTTATTGTTACAATTAAGGGGTGAACTTCCGATTTTTTTTTGTTTTATATTCTTGTTTTATGTTTTGTATAGATGTAGACATTGATTTATAATTTCTGTGGAAAATCAACAACTACGATTAACTAAAAATATCATAAGAGGTGCAATTGACCATAAAACTGTTTTTTCAGATTCTTGTAGGCATACTTTTACTGTTAACAACAAATACAAAAGTTTTATTTAATAAAAAAAAATGACGAGTTTGGGATTATCCAGAATTCTAGAAAAATACAAGGCATTAAAATCAAATTATGATTAAAAATTTCATGTATCACAAAGCTTAGTTTCAATTGAGTTATATGCTGATGGATAAGTAAATTAGAAAAAAAAAAAAAAATACATTTGCCTTTATAAACGTGATTACAATACACATTAAAACCACAATCATTTCATTCGATTTGGTGTAGGACTACATCTCAGTAAATAATAATGATAGTCTAGGACGCAACTGTGGACATGAATGTTTCCACAGATATTCATAAGAAAAATTTATTGTATTTCCATGTCCTGCATAAAATATCGAAATTTCACTCCGTTAAAGGAATATTGCAATTTAAATTTTGAACGTAACGCTATTTTCTTACTTATGTACCGAGTCTGAGCCAGAAAAGGAAAGATCGTGCATACATTGGATCGTTTTCAGTGTTATCTATTATCTTATGCCAAGTATAATGGAAAATTATACACATGATTTATCAACAATAATGGCATTATAAAAGAAAAAAAAAATTTCAACCAACAGTTTTGAGAATCACCGTAACGCCATAACTCCCTCGAAAGGGATCCAATGAACCAGTACATGGTGTCTAATATAGAGAATCTCGCGGAGCTGTTACAAATTCAGGTAGTTCAATGTGACAGTTTCAACCGTGACTTTTAGTATCGTTAACTTCTCTTGATACAAATTAAAAAACTAAAAGGTAAAAAGTACCTGTCTAACCCTATAAACTGATGGTATTTCATTGTTTCGGGACTTTTCACCGTTATCACTTGTAAGTACTGCCCGAAACTGTAATTTTTATCATTAATCATAGTTTATTTTTTTATGTATTCAAAATGACCGTGCTCTGAACAGTAAAACTGAAAAAATGCGCGACTAGCCACGAGAATCCATCGTTCAAGCAAAGTAGTTCCTACATGTCCTTGTTTGTCTCAGTGAAACAACTAAACCACTCGCAGACAAACGTGTAAAAAAATAAAGCAAAACATATGTACAGATGTTCCATCAAAGCAAAAACCATATTTCCATAGCTCGAACTCCCACCCAAAAGTACGAAGACTCTCCCGCAAAGTCTCATCACCCCAACGAAACACGAAGCTCACCGCATGCAAGCGCCCCGTCAACTTCTCAATTTTCCCGCTTCATCGTCATCTCTTCCATAGCCAATGAGAAATTCACGTTCCACGGGGTAAAATCATTTTCCAATTACTATGGAAAATCGTCCGCCGAGTTTCTCCGTTCAACCCCCTCGGGAGCCTCTGCCACGAGCAAACTCATAAAACTTCGTTAAGCCGGGCTTCGGCTGTACCTGAAACACGTGCTCGCGGCTGGTGGTCGCAGAACTCCCTTTCGGCTCTTGATTGTAAGGTGTATTGACCGAGGAAAAGTGTGTGAACGCCGTTCGAGCCAATTTACAGGAGTCGATACTGCGGCGGTCCAGGCTGCATATGGTAATCGGCTGATCACGTGAAGTGTTGCAATTTGTGGCTGAACCAAGTACTTGCTGTCAAATCGATTTTTTATTTATTAATAAGAAAAGTAAGAAAAAGAATTTTTTTTTTTTTAGCTTTCCTTGGCGAATATAGTTTGCTGCTAATGGTTTGTTTGCCTATGTTACACGTACATGCAAATACGTTAAACGTTAGTTGTTACTTTTTATATTTTAACCCAAGATAACAGGGTATTTTCTTTCTTTCATTGTGATCCAATCGTATGGCGTCTTCTTTTTTTGTGAATTCATGTAAAAACATCTGGTGTTATAACATAAAGAATAACTATACTATCCTGTCACTTAACAATCGTTTGTGTATGCCTGTATAAAATTACTAATTTACAATAGTCAATATCTTTTACAATGAAGTGTTTTGCTATATTTTTCTCTACGTCATTCAAAACCTTGCAGCTCAAAGAGCAATTGTGAAAAGTTTCGTTGAAAAATTTAAATAATTTTACTACTCTAGTAAGTCCCAACAATATTTTTAGGTTTGCCTAACTCACTTGACTAATACCAATGCTACCTATCAATACTTATTCCTCCTTATCTCCATTCCTAATTATAATATCGGTCCTATTTTTTACAAGATATTTCAACGCTTTGTATGTAATATTCATTATGTTTTCTGTGGGTGGTTAAACTGCAGTGTTAAACATAACCTATATAACCTCAAAATAATAAATTTTTTATGAAACGGTTGTCAAGGGGTTTCCTGTTTCAAAACTGTTTTTTGATGAGGATTCGTTTAAAAATTTAACGCCGATTCAGTGTTTCATTTGATTGGTTATACCATACAGAGAAGAAATAAAACTAGTCCATCAACGGTTACTAGATTCTACTGCTAGGGTAACGTTGATTTAGACCTCTCTGGTTTTTGTTTTCTATTTTAAAAAACTTTCAAATACGTTTCAAATATACATTTCAAGAAAAACAGAATCATTTCTCTCCAACCAAAATCAATTTATAACAAAAGTGCTCGTCACCCACTAAGGTCAACGTTTAAAATACCCTATTATACTCCCGCTTACAAAGCCGATTTCCAAACTAGATTTTTGGAGCCCTAAACTCATCGCTCTCGCGTCAATCCCCAACTTCGCGTGCGTCCATCAACGTCGAACTGCAGTGCCTAAGATCAATGTTTGCTGTTAACAAAGTCTTGAGCTCGTAGGTACACGGCAAGTGAGCCCCGGTGCGCTCGTATGTTTGTACGTGCCTGCCAACTGCAGCCAAGAGGTTTCGTTATAATTGAAATCCGGTTGCGTTTAAACCATGTGGAAGCTCTTCTGTTTCTTGCGTGTGTTTGGGAAACATGAGTTCGGAAGGAGTTGATTAGACGCTATTTTTTGCCAATAGCTTCGTGCGGCTGATTGCCGAACGATTTTTAGACGGGCTGGAAATGCTGCTCGGAACCGTTTGGCTTACCCCTTGGTGGGCTTATTTGGATTAACTTGAAGAAGGAGTTTTCGCAAAAAATTGTTAACTAGAAAGAAAAATAAAAAAACTGCGATCGATTCTGGATTGTTTTTTTTTTTTTTTTTTGAGGTTATGAAATTCAATTCGAAGTCGAAACGGGTTTTTTTGGATTGTTATCACTGGCCAAAAACCTCGAGAAAACCTTCCTGTGAAAAATAAAATATATCTTACGTGCAATTCTCGTTGGGAAGAAAATGTTTGCACGAAAACACAAAGCTGGTCTCGCTCAAGTAAGCGAAGAATCAGTGGATTTTATCAACCCTCAATCAACAGCACGCATGAATAAGCGATCGCTCACACGTTCCTTAACAGTCAAGATCGAGTAATTGATAGTATGGACAGAAAATGTTCTCAATTTATTTTAAATCACGTCCATTGTAACCAAAAAACAAACAAAAAATCAAACCGCTGACGTACTCCAAAGTATGTATTAAATTTTAAATCCTCGAGACACCTCTGGTTTTTCATGATGAAAAATCACAACATCCTACAGCTAACCAGCGCACATCCTGACGGAATTATCACCACCGCCCGCAGTATCCACTGCAACCCCTGTACATATATGTATATACATACACTGATGGATAAACTCAAACACGTAACTCCAACTCCCAACGGCAGTTTAGAATTAACCCCCTCCCCTCCATCTCTCGTCATCCTCGTAACGTCACAGAGACCCATACCCTATTACTCGAAGCAGCAGCAGCAAGTAATGTCCCTTACAATCTCCGGCCAAGGTCTCACAAGCTGTTCTACGACACCCAGTCGTCCACTTACAAGTACACGTATACGTATGTATTATATGTATATTGAAGACACAGGGACACGTGACAGTCGACTGGTCCCCGAAGGGTTGTTTGAGCTCCAGTCCGGGGGTGCGGTTCTCCTCCAGCCGATCATATCGACCGATCACCCGCAGGCTCCTCTGGAGATTTACCCCGTGCACTTCCTCCGTACGTATATGCGCTATAACTGTATACGTAATGTGCTCCTTCGGAAGTCACGGAGCTGAAGCTGCAAGGGAGCGTTATAGGGGGCAGAGGAAGGAGGTAATGTAGCGCAAGGAGCGACGATCGCCCTGAGGGATCGAGTCGAAGGCGTTTCGGCTAATTTTGGGGTCGATGAGCCGGTGAGGGTTCCCGAACCCCAAGCACCACGGGGTCTTTTTTTCACTCTTTTCCTACCCAAGTACTTGTCAATTTTTTCGATCTCTGCTTATAAGAAGCGGGTTTTCATTGCCTCGCCGAAATTCATGAATCTTCAAAGCTTAACAAACCAAACGTAGCATTGCGACCTGATGAAAATTCCTTTACCTTCTTCTGGAACAAAATTTGCAGTACAAACATCAAAAACAATCTGCAAAAAAATATAAAATAAAATAAAACAAGACAAAATAAAAAAAACGCACACCCGTGTAAATTCATGAGGTTGGCATTTATTCGAGGCACACACTGCGAGAGGCTAACCAACTTTGAGACGGAATTAAGGACTATGCGGTTTGCCGGTATACCTACACACGCTCGAGGACCACGGACGGGCGACTTAAAGGGACGGCCAATGGACCGAAACCTGTGGTCCGGGGGAAATCTTTATTTGCGTGAAACCCTACTTTGGATGCTCCTTGATCCCGGATTGTTGGTATATGGGTATATTGACTAGGAGATGCCAAGTCGATTAACAAACTGCAATCTGAGCCATTTTTTTTTTTTTTTTCAATCCAATGTCACATACTTTTTTCAAATTCACCAAATAAATTTGATAACGAATATTCTGATCATCCAATATTGTAAGCAGATGTATTTTACAGATGACCCGGTATGTCTGACCATACATCAACTTGTACTGCTGAAATTAGAAAAATACCTTATTTGGTTCTACGATTGCAACGTTTACCATAAATCTTATGATTAATGTACTAAAAAACATGTAGGAATGGCAATTATAGCTTACATACAATGTTTGTACTGGTTAAAATTGTAGTCGGCATTATTGACTTTTCTACGATGGAAATTTAAAGTTATACATTTTTGTGTACCACACATGGAAAGGATGCACGGAAATCGCATCTTTATGTCTTGAAATAAAATTCTGATATATTTTAAGCTTGGGGGTTTCATAAAACCAAACGTATCTGGTTACCAACATTGCTAAGATGATCTTAGAAAACCTCGCTTATGCTCTTTATTGTTGTTTTTTTTTTTTTTATATGCAATTGTCATAGTAATAAGATGTTGAAAAAAAAAAAAAAAAAAAACTACAAAAACTCTGCAAGCGCGATAATTTGAATTTCACACGCTTGAAAGTGCCAACCTCTAATATAACCTAAGTCTGGTGCAATCGTCACAGTTTCTAAAAAGATTACGTATCAATATTCTCATATAGTAGGTGTTGATACGGAAGATCCAACGACAAAAAAAATGAATCAAAGAAAATAAGACCTAGCCATCAGGTTTACACTCTCTTGACCCTGGCACATCATCGGCAGCACAAACCCGGAACACTCTCATATTCGTGAAAGAAACAGAAAAAAAAAAAAAACAAATTCAAGCACAAGAAGGTGCTCGAGAGAGTGACATACTTCCGTAATTGCTTTGTACTCATGTACCAGCGGCGAGGAACAAAAATAAGATACTTAACCCCGCGTTACATAAATATATATATCTATAGATACACAATAAATGTATATACACATGTGTGCAGTGAAGAGCAGGTAATGACGAGTTGTGTTTTTGTCTGTTTTCGACGCGAGCAGGGGCGGTAGGCGGTGAAGGAGGCGGAGATGAGGACGACAAGGAGAAGGAGGAGGAGGCCGAGAGGGAGCGGCAAGAAGCCATCCGGGAGGCCGAGGAGCGAAGGAAAGAGAAGCACCGCAAGATGGAGGAGGAGCGGGAGAAGATGCGCCAGGAGATCAGGGACAAGGTCAGTTGCCCATCGTGTATATATATAAATACGTATCCTTTTCATTTGTCTTTTTTTTTTTTTTTTTTTTTTTTTTGGTGCCTTCTGAATTACGATTCCAATAGGGGGTGGACGTAAGTTTCTGATGGGATTACGTGCAGAGCAACGTCAATGATTAGTGAGCGATGTTTCATCATCGGGTGCAGGTATACACAAGTGTACGGCCAGGGGTAAAAATTATTCGATGGTAAAAGTTTACCGCGTGTAATACTTTGGGGCATGAGTTTTGAAATTTCACGACACCCTCCAGAGTCATGAATAGTTTATGGGGCGTTTGAAAGTCGGTGCGGCGAGTTTTATTAAATTTTTTTTTTTTTTTTTTTTATCAATCAAAACTTTGCTCCGTACGATAAATTTACGCCAAAGCTTTGCAAAGTGGTTGAGTGGTTGCGATAAGCATGCGATCTGAGGGATTCTTTATTTCCTCCCGTGGGTTGTATACGATTTTTCGTCAATCCTGGATTTTTATTCGCGAAGCGGGACGAAAATCCCTTCTCTCGGCGCAGTATGATGAAAAAAAAAAAAAAAATCTCCAGAAAAACCCATTTACAAACTGAATAAACCAACACCTAACGGTTAACGACTCCATTCGCATAACTACCGCAGGAATAGCGGTCCATATATAACTCCGAGTTTCTCTCTCGTCGCGCTTGGCAAAGCTTGACCGCGTCAAAACTCCACCCGTAACGTGCATAACAACATTATGGCCTAGTGCGTTGCACTGTCGCCACACACACGTACTACCTATGCGTGTGAATAGCAAAACGACTGTTGGATGTGTTTATTTTTACGAGCATCCCCTACAGATTCGGCGTCAACGAGCTCGTTGTTGTATACACCGTGACGTTTTATTCGCAACTCGATGACCAACGTCTCCATGTACAACGCGAGCGTCGACCAATTATCCGAATCGCGGTTGGAAAGATAACAGTAGAAGGGAAATTTCTTTTTGATTTTTCGATTTTTCGAGAAGCTTTCAACTCGAGCTTGGATAGGCACCTTGAGCGCGTGAAACCGCAGTATATGGATACACATCTGCAGTGTAACAGCACAACTGGGGTATTCGGGTTGAGCAGATGAATCGCTTCGTGGTTTTTCACAAATGTGGATACGTGTATCTGTAACACCCCCGTGCCATAAAAGTGATGCTCATGGCCACTCTTCTTCGCGAATAAATCGAAACGACGACCAACGAGGCTCCGTTTCACCCATTGGGCTCACTTCTTTCCTTTGCTTTTGTTCATGCATCGATAGCATATTGTCACACAATATGTATATTTTTTTGGTATTTTTCAAATATGGCTGTATATAGGAAGCTGCTCGAGTAATTTGTTCATAAACCTTAAAATTCTTATTTCGCATAACATACGTTTTTAGCAATTGATTAATGGCATTTTTTGATTACGTATTTGTTTGACCTACAAATTTGTTGATAATTTTTTTTTCTTCGAAATCTTATTTTTGGTTTTTATTCGCTTTTAAAAAATCCTACGTGATGTATATTATTACTTTAAATAAAGTATTTCTTGTATTTTAAAACTGCAATCTGAGCCATTTTTTTTTTTTTTTTCAATCCAATGTCACATACTTTTTTCCCAAGTACTTGCTGTCAAATCGATTTTTTATTTATTAATAAGAAAAGTAAGAAAAAGAATTTTTTTTTTTTTAGCTTTCCTTGGCGNGACGGATTTTCTACCTCAAAACAATCGTCAGAACACCTAACGTTTTACGTTTCCTCCCATTTGTTTATCATAAGACTGACTCATGCAGGAAAGTAATCAATGGCCGATAAAAAAAAAAAAAAAAAAAAAAAAAAAAAAAAAAAAACGAATTGGCAAGTTAGAGTGATTAAAAAATGTTTGCAGTGCATCAAGCCTGACGCTCAAGATTATAATTATAATTTGGCGTTGATATTGCGGTTCACAATATAAATACTTAAATTTAATAATAAATTGACAGATTGATTCAAATTCAATCCCCAACTCCTTGCTTCAAGTGCCAAGCCACTGAACTCTACAACATTCTATCAAATATTCCGCGAGATGGAAATCACAGAAATTGAATCTCATACTCCAAAGCTTAGCTTATTCCAGATCATTGGGCGCAAAAATATGCACAATTTGTTTTTATCTTGCAAAGGCTCACAAAAACCCCGGTAATTCTCCGATACGTCGATCCAAACGATCCTTACCCCGGAAAATTCACCCCATCCAATCTCCCCTTTCCAAACAAAAACAAGCCCATCGAAATTCTCGAGCCCGCGAAGCACGTCCCCACACATCCAACAGTACAGATAATATATCTATACACGAAGCCGGCGCGCGAGCTTAATATATGTAATCGCATTTGCATTTTTAGGCGCAATTACAAAAAAAGCCAGTTGATATAAGGCTAATTCTCCTTGGTGATGGTGTATGGTATACGTGAGTGCGGGGGATTGTCGAAGAATTGGTGTTGACGTGGTTGTTGTTGTTGGCGGCGCTTCGTGACTAGAATTGTCGAGAAGCGTTTGGGTATCGATTAGCTTTGTTCCTTTTTTTTTTTTTTTTTTTTTTTTTTTTTTTTTTTTTTTTTTTTTTTTTGGTGNTTGACGCTTAAAGTACGATCGCTTTGTAGTGCGCTTCTAAGTACACCTTTTTTCGCTTTTTCGAACGTTGGTGTGGTGTGTACACCCGACAAAATGTAATTCTCTCAGCTGAAAATTTAAACATTTGATTCCAATTTGTTGGTTCCATAACACAACCTCTCTCGTTCGTGGATTTCATACTTCCTGCTAAAAGAATTCTGTTGGAGGGATTTCAGTGATATGTGTATTTTGGGTTAGTAAAATACTTGTAATGATCAAAAGGCTGACGTGTCAAGATGTCACAATAAAACTGTAAAATTTATATAAAACTTTCTTTTATTTATTTTAAAAAATTCCAATTTACATTTAAACATTGTCATTGAAATTTTTTAAATAATATTTTAAACATCTGTTTTAGTAGAATTTGTATTTTGGGGTTTCGTAAAATTGAGCTGAGGGTATAAAACGTAGCCACGTACTTCACACACGTTGCGTAATGTACACATTGCGCTCCATGAAATTCAATAAGATTATGTCAGCGTAGTGACATAATATTTGTAAAGAAGCACACGTCATCCTATGGAGGATTTGACGATGAATTCAAAATATTTTCGGAAAGAATCGGCGGCGCGTGCGAGAAAACTCCAGTCGAGCGGACAATTTTCATGTTGATGCGTCATCTGGGTTATTGTTTGCGTTTGCTTTCAGACGGAAATTATTCATATCGAGACATGATGCAAGGGTATAGTGAACGTTTAATTTCGACTCACAACAGAACGGATATTTTTCTATGAAATATTGATTGTCACTGAATAAAAGCTGTTTTATTCGTTTTCTATGATTGGCTGAAACTACTAACATCAAATAGCAATGACTTTTTTACATAAATTTGAAACAAAAAAAATTTTTTTTTAATTAATTCGTAATATGCAATTGTCATAGTAATAAGATGTTGAAAAAAAAAAAAAAAAAAAAAAACTACAAAAACTCTGCAAGCGCGATAATTTGAATTTCACACGCTTGAAAGTGCCAACCTCTAATATAACCTAAGTCTGGTGCAATCGTCACAGTTTCTAAAAAGATTACGTATCAATATTCTCATATAGTAGGTGTTGATACGGAAGATCCAACGACAAAAAAAATGAATCAAAGAAAATAAGACCTAGCCATCAGGTTTACACTCTCTTGACCCTGGCACATCATCGNTGCATAATTGAGAAACCTGCATGCCGTGTCATCATGTCACTACAAATAAAATTTTAGAAAAATAGATAATTAAAAAAGTAATAATAACAGCGGTTACAAAAATAAAAACTTACGAAGCGTGACTGCCACTAAACTTTCAGCACGACTTGGTAAAATTACTTGATTAACTATCTTTTTTCATAACTTTTGCACGAATAATACATTTAACCTGTAAATGTATGTGTAATTTAAAATTTTTACTTCAGACACCTACAGTCAAATTACAAATTTTTTTAGATTTAATTTACAAGCACCAAATCGAAGGGCCATTCACTTAAATAACTAACAGTGCTCATTTTCTTTTTACTTGAGTAATTTTCCTTCGAAAATTTATCACTTAAATAATAAATTTCTCACTTTGACACTCGCTTATTCACATCATTGTGTATTTTACGAAAAAAAGTTTCTTTCTGTCGCGATGATAAAACTTCATAATCCAATTTATCAGTAAACTACGATAATAACTATTTACATCTGCTAAAAGGCATAATGCAGTGGAAAGAAAAGTTTTCAATTTAAATGAAGTACGTGCCAAGTTGATAGTTGCATTCAATAAATGAATAACAATTAATTTTAACCTTTTCTACTCGACTTTCAATTAACTCATGCGAATTGATTATAATCATAGCACATGCCAATAAAAGTGGACTGTACGTAGGGTCTCACTTGAGTTTAATACCAAGACAGAGCCGAAAAAAGCTAGAGACTAAAATATAATGTATACCTACAAACTTTGTTTGCCAAAGTAATTGTATGGGTGAAGGAATCGAGCTCGCCAAATATTAATCCTTTCGTTGCACAAACATTTCAGGGCAATTTAATTTATTTACGCTCGTTTGAGCAGATTTCCCGTGGGTTAACTGAAGAATCAGGTAGATTGGGACGAAACGAAGCTTTTTTTCGTATCGTTCCCTCGCAAAAGCAAATAATAAAATGTGAAATAAAATAACAAAAATACACAGATAATCGGATTACAATTTTTTATTTTTTATTTTGTGATTTGTTTCTTCGTTATTAAAAATATTTTAAAATACGAGCTTTGCTCGAGGTACGTATACACATTTCACTTTAACGAAGCTTCCGGTACGCAAGTTTTTATTTTCCCTCGTTGCATTTACGAATATTTCTGTTAGCTTCACAAATAAAAATT